GCCAGGTCCACAGTCTCTCATGCCATGTGCCACTTTCAGGTCTCCTCACACTGCTGGTGTGTTGAATTTTTTGACATAGGGTGCTGGCAGATTACGGGCCTCCCATTGCTGCTGCCTGGCCCCTAATCTGCCATAGGCCCCTATTATACCGCCTCCTCATGCTGCTGCCAGGTCCAGAGTCTGTCATGGGTCCCTGTACGGCCTCCCATTGCTGCTGTCTCGTGTAGAATTTTTTGACATAGGGTGTTGGCAGATTACGGGCCTCCCATAGCTGCTGCCAGGCCCCTAATCTGCCATAGGCCCCTATATACCGCCTCCTCATGCTGCTGCCTGGTCCAGAGTCTCTCATGGGTCCCTGTACAGCCTCCCATTGCTGCTGTCTCCATCGCCACACTCTGCCATGTGCCACTTTCAGGTCTCCTCACACACTGCTGGTGTGTTGAATTTTTTGACATAGGGTGCTGGCAGATTACGGGCCTCCCATAGCTGCTGCCAGGCCCCTAATCTGCCATAGGCCCCTATATACCGCCTCCTCATGCTGCTGCCAGGTCCAGAGTCTGTCATGGGTCCCTGTACGGCCTCCCATTGCTGCTGTCTCCATCGCCACACTCTGCCATGTGCCACTTTCAGGTCTCCTCACACTGCTGGTGTGTAGAATTTTTTGACATAGGGTGCTGGCAGATTACGGTCCTCCTATAGCTGCTGCCAGGCCCCTAATCTGCCATAGGCCCCTATATACCGCCTCCTCATGCTGCTGCCAGGTCTAGAGTCTCTCATGGGTCCCTGTACGGCCTCCCATTGCTGCTGTCTCCATCGCCACACTCTGCCATGTGCCACTTTCAGGTCTCCTCACACTGCTGGTGTGTTCAATTTTTTGACATAGGGTGCTGGCAGATTACGGACCTCCCATAGCTGCTGCCAGGCCCCTAATCTGCCATGGGCCCCTATACCGCCTCCTCATGCTGCTGCCAGGTGCAGAGTGTGTCATGGGTCCCTGTACGGCCTCCCATTGCTGCTGTCTCCATCGCCACACTCTGCCATGTGCCACTTTCAGGTCTCCTCACACTGCTGGTGGGTTCCATTTTTTGTCATAGGGTGCTGGCAGATTACGGGCCTCCCATAGCTGCTGCCAGGCCCCTAATCTGCCATGGGCCCCCGTACCGACTCCTCATGCTGCTGCCAGGCCCGTAATCTGTCATGGGCCCCTGTTGTCGCTTGTTGGCATATTCCGCTCGTTCAGATGCTCCTTCTCCTGCTACTCCTCTTCACGGATTCCGTCAGCAGTCTTTCTTGGAATCCGTTTCCAAGAGACAACAGTTTGCGAGCACGCACCAGACGGTGCAGAAACTGAACGTCCTCCTGTCCAAGTTGCTGCTGCCAGGCTCGTAATCTGTCATGCGCCCCTGTACCGCCTCCTCATGCTGCTGCCAGGTCCAGAGTGTGTCATGGGCCCCCGTACCGACTCCAAATGCTGCTGCCAGGCCCGTAATCTGTCATGGGCCCCTGTACCGCCTCCCCATGCTGCTGCCAGGTCCAGATTGTGTCATGGGTCCCTGTACGGCCTCCCATTGCTGCTGCCAGGCCCGTAATCTGCCATGGGCCCCTGTACCGACTCCTCATGCTGCTGCCAGGCCCGTAATCTGCCATGGGCCCCTGTACCGCCTCCTCATGCTGCTGCCAGGTCCAGAGTGTGTCATGGGTCCCTGTACGGCCTCCCATTGCTGCTGTCTCTATCGCCACACTCTGCCATGTGCCACTTTCAGGTCTCCTCACACTGCTGGTGGTTTCCATTTTTGTGATAGGGTGCTGTATGGCCTCCCATTGCTGCTGCCTCCACCGCCACACTGTGGCTCCACACTCTGGTTTTGGCCCCGTGACTGCCCAAATGAGTGAAGTGTGCGGTGATTCTAAGATCGACGGCACTCATCTGCATGTCATACTGCCTGACAGTATTATTTCTCTTCCCCAGCAGACTCCAAGGGCATTTAAATTAAAGGTACAGTGTTCAGCACTAATATTAAGTCTCTCTGAAGCCTAGAAACACCCTTTTTTAAGTTAAATTCACAGCGAATATATTCGACTCGAATCGAAATTTTTCCACGAATTCGCCGAATCAGTCGAATCGAATTTTTGAATACTTCGCTCATCTCTAATTAATATCTTTATTCTTATTTTTAATCATCATCCAGTATCTGCAGTTGGAGGCTGTTTTGAATTTTTTCTGAACTAGTTTGTTGTGCCCCTCTTTTTCTTTTCCTCTGTTTTTTTTCTCTATAGTCCGGGTGGCTTGTTCTTTCCCTGCCACTAGAGAAAACTGCATCATATATAACACATTTCTGGTCCCGAACTTACAGTGATGTCAGGTGCACCTCAGAGACATATTGCCATGCATTCCAAGACTCGGAAGCATGCAGCTGGAGATGGACACCAATGTGATGCAGCCCTTTTTCCTTCTATGGAACACACCTTGAAAATAATAATATGGAGGGAAGATGTTATACTTTTACATATAGCTATGGAGGAACGGATGAGTGAATTTTACTATATGTGCAGTAGCCCTTTTAAAAATGGTAATTCTTGCATCTGTATACATAACATCATTTACATCGTACTATGTGCCATCAGCATGATCATTAGCACCACTGTTTTGCATTTTGTGTCTTTTACATTTGTGCATATGTATTTATGGTTGGCAGCTCATTATCTGTAATCAGGTTTTTAAATTTTATGTTTTATGCTTTTGTGTACATAGAATATTGTTATGAGGCGGTCTCTCCTTGACAGAACTACCCCTCCCCCCCAATTTCCTGGAGGGAGGGAGGGGGTAGTGGTACAGGAGGAAGTGGCTGTGGGGGATGGAGTGGTAGGAGGAATGAAGGAGGACGGCTGTTAGGTAAGGGTGGGGTAGGCTTCCCTGAAGAGGTGGGTTTTCAGGGAGAGCCTGAAGGTGAGGAGGGAAGGCGACAATCTGATGGATTGGGGTAGTGAGTTCCAGAGGATGGGGGGGGACCTGGAGAAGTCTTGCAGTCGTGCGTGGGAGGAGGAGACCAGGGAGCAAGATAGAAGGAGGTCCTGTGAGGAGCGAAGGGTACGGGTTTGGTGGTACTTGGGAATCAGGTTGGTGAGGTAGTTATGGGCAGTGTTGTGAATGGCTTTGTAGGTCAGAGTTAGCAGTTTGAATTTGATGCGTTGGGAAACCGGGAGCCAGTGGAGGGATAGGCAGAGGGGGGTGGCAGAGGTAGAGCGGTTGGTGAGGTGGATGAGTCTAGCCGCTGAGTTCAGGATGGTCTGAAGCGGGGAGAGCCTACGCTGGGGCAGGCTGGTGAGAAGGGAGTTGCAGTAGTCAAGGCACGAGACAATCAGGGAGTGCACGAGTAGTTTAGTGGTGCCTGGGGTAAGGAAGGAGCGTATCTTGGCGATGTTGCGGAGGTGGAGCCTGCATGTGTTTGTAAGTGATTTGACATGAGGTTGGAAGGAAAGGTTTGAGTCCAAAATGATGCCAAGGACTTTGGCTTGCTGGATTGATGGTGGTGTTGTTGGTAGTGATGGATAGGATAGGGGGGGGCGTGGGCAGGGGGAAAGACGAGGAGCTCGGTTTAGGAGGTGAGTGATGTGGGCGGAGACTGTGGGGGTGAGGTGAGGGGTGGAGAGGTAAATTTGAGTGTCATCAGTGTAGAGGTGATAGTTGAAGCCGTGGGAGTGTATGAGTTTGCCAAGGGAGGAGGTGTAGATGGAGAAGAGAAGGGGTCCGAGGACAGAGCCTTGGGGGACCCCAACAGAGAGGGGGAGGAGAGGGGAGGTGGCACCGTTGTAGGAAACGCTGAAGGAGCGTTGGGATAGATAGGAGGAGAACCAGGAGAGAGCGATGTCTCTGATGCCAAGGGAGAGTAGTTTATTAAGGAGGAGGGGGTGGTCAACTGTGTCGAAGGCCGCGGAGAGGTCCAGGAGAAGGACAGAGTAGTCGCCTTTGGCTTTGGCGGTTAGTAGGTCGTTAGTGATTTCGAGGAGGAGTGTTGGGGACAGAAGCTGGACTGTAGTGGGTCAAGGAAGTTGTTGTCAGTTAGGTGGGCGCTCAGGCGATCGTAGACTAAGCACTCAAGGAGCTTGGAAGTGAGTGGCAGCAGGGAGATGGGTCTGAGGTTGTTTGGGTCTGTGGGGTCCAGGGAGGGCTTTTTGAGTATGGGGGTGATGTGCGCATGCTTTAGGGGGGAGGGGAATGCGCCAGTAGAGAGGGAGAGATTGAAGATGTGGGTGAGGGAGCGGATGAGGGAGGAGGGGGGTGACTGGAGGAGATGAGAGGGGATAGGGTCCAGGGAGCACGTAGTAAGGCGGGCTTCTGAGAAGACCCTGGTGACTTCCTCAGTGGTAGCAGGGCTGAAGGAGTACAGTGCTGGGGGGGTTATGGTAAGCGGGGGCCTTGGGTGTGGTGGGGGCAGTGCGGTTGCGAGGTCAGAGGAGGGGAGAGATGAGGGGGTGATGGGGGGGGAAGCTAGGTGGGGAGGTAGATTGCGAGTTGACTATGTCCTTACGGATTGCGTCAATCTTGTTGTGAAAATGGGTGGCAATCTCGGGGGCGGTGAGTGAGGTACTGAGTGGAGGAGGGGGGGGGGAGCGAGCAGGGAGTTGAAGGTGGAGAAGAGTCGGCGAGGGCAGGTGGAGAGGGTGTTGATCAGGTTTACGAAGTAGGCCTGCTTGGCGGCGTGGAGGTGTAAGTGAAGAAGGCAGATTTGTAGAGGGAGAACGCACAAGGGGACCTGGTTTTGCGCCATAGTCTCTCCAGCGCGCGACTGCGACATTTGAGGTGTTTAGTATGGTCATTCTGCCATGGTTGAAGCGGTCTAGGTTTGATGTTGCGTATGGTTAGGGGTTCCAGAGAGTCTAGGGCAGCTGACAGTGAGTCGTTGTATGTGGTGGTGGCTAGGTCAGGACATGACAGTGGAAAGGTGCTGTCGTGTAGGCGGTCGGCAGCCGAGTGGAGGGGGGCCAGGTTCAGGTTGCGGAGGTTGCGGCTGGTGATGGTTTGGCGCCTTGGAGGGGGGGGAGTTAGGGGAAGGGGAGATGGAGAACGTGAGGAGGTGGTGGTCAGAGAGAGGGAAGGGGGTGTAAGTGAACTGGTTGAGGGTACAGAGGTGGGAGAAGACGAGGTCCAGGGTGTTCCCATCGATGTGGGTGGAGGATTGAGCGTACTGTGTGAGCGTGAAGGAGGAGGTTAGGTGGATGAGTTGGGAAGTAGCCAGGTTGTTGTCGTTGATGGGGATTTTGAAGTCCCCAAGGATGATGGTCGGTAGCTCAGAGGAGAGGAAGAAGGGAAGCCAGGCGGCGAAGTCATCCAGGAAGCGGGGTATGGATCCGGGAGGCCTGTAGATAACTGCGATCCTTAGGGGGGTGGGGGAGAAGAGCTGGTGAGCCTCGAAGGAGGAGAAGGATAGAGAGGGGGGTTAGGGAGGACCTGGAAGGTGCTCAGCGGTGATAGGAGCAAGCCGACACCACCACCTCTGCGACCGCTCGGTCTGGGTGAATGGGTCCAGATGAGCCCTCCATGGGTGAGTGCCGCAGGGGAGGTAGAGTCAGTGGCCTGTACCCAGGTTTCGGTGACCGCTAGGAGGTTGAGGGAGTGGGAGATAAAGAGGTCATGGATGGCGGTAAGCTTGTTGCAAACCGAGCGGGCGTTCAGGAGTGCAACCGAGAGAGGGGGGATGGATGCGGGGAGGAGGGGTACAGGTATGAGGTTGAGGGAGTTGCGGCGGCTGGCGGGAGCAGGGAGGTCCCTAGGGGGGGTGAGGTGGTGAGGGGCCAGGGTTCTGGGAGATGTCCCCAGCGGATAGAAGGAGGAGGGCGAGGAAGGTGGCATGGGAACGGGAAGTGCAGGAGCGTGTGGATCTGATAGTGGTGGCACGTGGGTCGATGGGGGAGTGGAGTAGCAGGAGGAGGTGGTGAGTGCCGTAGTGGGGAGAGGGGAGAGGGGAGAAGTGAAGGGGCAATGTAGAGCCAATTTGGGGGGGGTAGGCGGGTAGAGGGAGGCAATTTTTGGGATGGAGGAGAGGAATATGAGGAGGAGGAATGCAGGTGGCATGTTGGGGTGAGCAGGGTGCTGGTCAGGTCGGGGGAGGTGAGGGGGTACAGGTCAGGGCATGGTGATGTGGAGAATCTGTATCGCCATGGAGGAGTCCATTTAAGTCCTTCTGTAGGGGGAGGGTGAGAGTGGAGGGCAGCTGGGTCAGCACCTGGCTGGTTGCAGTCTGTGGATGCAGTATGCTGGCGTCCGTGGGTGCTGTGGCACGTCTTCAGTGGGTACGGTGGTTCGGCGAGCGGAGGGGTAGTAGGGTGCGATGTCTGGGGGTGATGGTAGGCACGGCATCTGGTGATGCTGGCGGCTCGCTGACTGGAGATTTTGAGGCCAGGCGTCGGGTGCTGAGGGCTCGGCGTCAGGAGGCGCTGAAGGTGCTGAAGGGCCCAGCGTCAGGAGGTGTTGAAGGGTCGTCATCAGGAGGTGGTGTGGACGGACATCTGGAGGTGGAGTGGGCTAGGCATTGGTAGGTGCAGAAGGGCTCGGCGTCTGTGGGCAAAGTGAGCCAGTGCATGTGGATGTTGCGGGCCAGTGACTGAGGGATGCTAGGGGCCCAGCGTCTGTGGGAGCGGTAGGGCCTGTTGTCAAGTGGGTGCTGTAGGCCGCGTGGCAGGCTTGACTCCGACGAATTGGACTGGGCTCGGGGCTGTTCGGTGGTAGGTGCCTGCCACGTGGTACCCAGAGGGGAGCAGGGAGGCAGCTGGTAGCGGAGGCTGACCCTCTCGGTGGCCGTGGGGGCTTACCCTCTCGGTGCGGGTGGCAGAGGTGCATCTCAATTCGCTGGGTGGCCTGGAGAGGTCCCTGGTCCGAGGCTGAGTGTCGGCTGATGCAGGGTGCTGGGTGGTCTGAGGCAGCCTCTAGGTGCCGGGTGCAGGTAGCTGGGTGCCCGGTGGCTGGGTGCTGGGTGTCCAGAGGTGGTAGCTGGGTGCCCGGTAGCTGGGTGCAGGGTGTCG